CTTTTTTTTTTTTTTTTTTTTTTTTTGGTACTGGGGATCAAACTCAGGACCTTGGGCCTGCAAGGTGGTGGCAGCACTGAGCTACATCCCCGACTCCCTCACAGAGATCTTGTACTCCTTTTGCTGTACAGCTCAGCGTCTTACTGTGGGGAAGCAAATGTAAATGGTGCTGTGCTCTTGACATCAAGTTCCACTTGGCCCTTGTTGGCACAGAGAAAGCGACAGACTCGTGTGTTTGTCTTCCATCTTGTAATCCTGCTCTAATCACTTCCAGGCTCAGGGAAGATTTCCGGTGCTGTTTCCTGTGCTGCAGGGATAGAACCTCGTGTACGCTAGGTGAACGGTCTACACTGAGCCCCACTGCAGCCCCACTTCCTCTGTCAGGGTCCCTAGTTCCTCACACCCCACGAGTGGCCCAAGCAGCACTACCTGCCCGTGGCACAGGACCACAGAGTCCTGAGAAGGATGGCACCAGCGCGGGTCCGGGCAGACTTGTGGCCCAGCATTGTGCAGTGGCAGGAGACACACTTTCCGGGGGACAGACCAGCCCTAGGGTCGAGGTCTCTCCTCCAAGGGCCTTCTGGGGCCTGGGAAGATGAGCCCAGAGGGTCAGGAATTGGTCCTGGGCTTCCTGCTCCTCCCACAGTCCTTACTTCTTCAAAAGGGGACACATCATCCCCTGGTAGGTGGTGACAATCCCCCAGCCTCCCTCTGTCCTCACTGGGGACTCAGGGCCACCTCCTCCCACTGCAGTCCCTGCTGTCTCTGTAGCCTCTGCAGGTTTTTCTGCAGGTGACCTCAGCCTCTGGGGGTGCCGTTCACAGCACAGGCAAGGGTGATGGCTCAGAGGCCCCCAGTTCAATTAGCAGACGCCACCCGTGTTTGGGGGTATTAGGCACCGAAGCCCATGTGGTCCCTGATACCAGTGTGCCGTGGGGAGTGTTTCCAGGGAGGGTCAGAGCTCGGAAAGGTCGGCTCCTCCCACGCCTGAGCAGAGGGGGCCGGCAGCTCCTCCCTCTGGCTGTTCCCTTTGGAGAAGGCAGGGAGCGCTCACATCTACACAGTCATGGTTCAGACTTTCTGCCTCAACACCCACGCACGTAGTTACTCTCTTACTCATTTCAAAAAATCACTCACTTAGCAAATAGTTTTCGGAGAATACTAGGGGCTGGTACTAGCGTGGGGTGCACCTGGCTATAAGCCATGTCCGTGCTGGGTGAGCCCACTGACTGCAGACCCAGCCCATACTCACTCTCGGGCAGGCGGCCATGCGCGTCGAGGCCACCAGGTGGCCCAGAGGCTCAGGAAACCGAACGCCAGCCCCTCACACCGGACATGGGGACAGAGGAGGCTGTGACAGGATGGGAGCAGTGCCAGGGCGCATGAGGGCACAGAGGGCAGGTCCACTGCGGAGCCCGGAGTCCTTCCTCACCTGGGCTCTGGAGGTTGCAACGCTAGGAGCCTGGGCGCTGCTTCCCAGGGTTGGGGGGTAGCCACGTCCACTCAGCATCCCCAGCTGGGAGGCACCACAGAGCCTCAGCAGTGACCACAGGCCATTAGCCGGGGACACAGACTGCAGGCCCAGATCCATGCAGGCTTCATGTGGAAAGCAGTGGGGCACAGACAGAGTAGCTCAGGACTGGGGCGCGGGGGCTGCTCTGCGTGAGCTGTGCTGGGTCCTAGCAACACTATCAGGCCGCACTCAGAACAGCCATCCTGGCCTGGCCAGCGATGCGCTCCAGGTCCTGCTTAGTGAAGTGCAAGCTGACCACAGCCTCGTCTCTCCTATGAAGCGGGGCTGCGCCTTGTCGCTGCCTAGTGGCACCAGCCCACACCACAGAGATTGGTCTGCTGGGCGTGGGACAGACACCCAGCCCCCCGGCCTTCCTGTCCGCGGTAGGGAGGCTCAGGGAGGGGCCGGAAGGTGGCCATGAGTGTGGCAGACGGGGTGGGGAGGGACGGACAGCATGTGCCCGCCACAGCCTTTGAGGGAACCAGGAAGTCACGGGAGGCAAGAGGCACCACAGAGGGGAGGTGGGGAACACGACAGGAAGCTGTCTGGGCTCCCGTTTCCAGGTGAGGAGACCAGGCCATCGCTCAGCGCTGGGGAGCAGGTGACGCTCGCTGGGCAGGCGGGACCCTGTGTCTATTCTCTACGCGCACCAGAGGGCAGCGAGCTCCACGGCAGTGTGCCTCGTGGAGACCCATACCCCAGGGGCTCGGAGATGCTGGCTGGACGGAGGCCAGGCCCCAGTCCCGAGGAGCCTGCACGGCTGCTGACCCCGCCACTGCACACGGAGCCCCTCGACACCACAGGCAGGCATTCTGGGCCTTCTGGGAAGCTCTGCCTCTGGAGGGGAGCAGGGCTGGGAGCAGGGCTGGGAGCAGCAGCCCGACCCCCATGGCTCCACCTGGGGTGCAGATGCTGCTGCCTGGGTCTGGCCTGGGCTTCGCTGTGCACCCAGGCCCCCGCCACCCGAGCTTCAGCCCACAGATGTCACCTGAGGTCACACAGGATGCGCCCACGCCCAGCCCTATGTGGCCACAGACACTGGGCTCCAGGTAGAACCTTGCCCTGGCCGCTGCACAGGCCCTGAGTGCTTGGCCATCAACCCAGGGAGTCGCCTGCCAGCCCAGGGCCCAGGGGCCAGTTACGCACATTGTGACGCGGACACCATCCCTCACCTTGGCCCCAGCAGCTGAATGGCCTCTGTGTCCATGGGTCCCAGCCTGGGCCAGGATTCCAGGGCGCTGCACGGAGCCCTGCACACCACAGACAGCTGCTTCCACGGCCACATCTGAGACCCTGCTTTCAGCTCAGGGAAATCCATATGCATCATGCAGCGCATGACAGCCGGGGCCTGTCATGCACTGGCGGCAAGAGATCTGCGGCCGGCGAGGCTCTGTCGGCTCTGGGAGGCAGGGACAGTCCAGGGTGGGATCAGTACTGCCTGCGGTGCCCAGAATTTGCAATCCAATCAGTGTCCCGGAGGAATGACAACAGTCCCAAACAGCACTAAAAAATAAACAAATGAGGCTTCCCAGAAGGCTCGGAAGGGAGGGGGCAGCAGGGGGCGCCGGTGTGCACTGTGCCCCCTCCCCTGGCTGGGAGAAGCCAGGTCACAAGGTCACACACAGCTTCAACCAGGTTCCTCTCCCTGGGGGCTGCACTGGAAGAAGGGGGCCGGAGGCTGCTGCAGACAAGCCCTCCTGACCACCCAGCAGGGCCCCACAACTCCCGCCCACGCCCCTCACACTCGAGGGGCCATGCGGCTGTGGTCACCCTGGCGCCGCTGGTGGTGCCTCACTTGCTTTGTATTTTGTTTTCTCTTCCACTTCCTTCCTGAGCTGTGGTTCCCTCCATCTACAGCGCGGCCACCTTGGCCAATCGCACCAGAGGATGAGGGACCAGGCAGTCACGCCACACGGGGCACAGCGGGCACTTGGGAAGAGCCAGCTCCTCCTTCAGCTCCGCACGGGCGGCAGGGAGAACGCAGCCGCAATCGTGGCTCACTGAGTCACGGGTGTGCGAGGGGCGTGGGGGCCAGGTGCCATGGCCACATGGGCCGGCATGGGCAGGGCTGGGCAGCAGAGCACGCGCCGTGAGCCGTGGCCCCACATTATCAGGCTGCAGACCCAGCCCAGTACCTGGGGCCGTGGCTTCCCCTGGGCTCTCCGCAGGAGGCACTGAGCCACATGGAGGCCACTCTAGAAGGGTCGAGGCCTTGCCTGACTCGGTGGTGTCACAGAGGAGCACAGCGACCAGCCCAGGAGCACCAGGGTGGGCGGGAGAGGAGGAGCCTGGCCCTGGGGACCTCAGACTGGGCTCGGGCCCCTGGAAGTACTCTGCTGCATGACACTGCCTAGCTCACAGGCACGTGTGTGTCCGGGGCCAGGGCTGCAGGTGCCCTGAGGCGGCAGACATCTGCAGAATCCAGGCTGGTCTCCGCGTTCCCCATGCTCTGGGCACAGGAGAATCACCGCACCTAGTGCCAAGGGTCATGCCGTACTCACAAGTGCCAGGCAGGGTGGCTGGTGGCTCCCCTCATGCCACCACAGCTGCTGTCTAGAGCGTCCTGGCCTCCCCGTGCCTGCAGGTGGACTGTTCTTTCTGGTTCAATACCTCAGTCAGAGCAAGACGCACGGCATGAAAATACAGACCCACGCAGGCACAGCAGCTCCCATGGGACAGCGGAGATGGGAATTGTTTTAAAATCTGAATTTCAATAAAATTGGCTGCACTTAAAAATCCAACGGTGTTTTCAACTTAAGGCCTGAACCTACTAAATGCCATGCTGGGAAGGGACAGGCTTGGAAAATGCCCTGGGTTCCCATTTCTGTAAGAACCCGGGCAAGAGTACAGTCCTGGCCCCCAGTCGCCAGAGCACCTCCTTCAACTCCTGAGCACTAAGAACACCGGCAGTTCAGGCGTGCATGACCTTCGGAAAATCCAAATCCAAAGCGACCCAGGACCACCCCTGTGCACACACACATGGCCTCGGCGGGCATCACGGGACATGGGACACACGGACAGTCCAGTCCCTCTGGGAGGACGCAGGGAGCCCGCTGTGGTCATGCAGGAAACAGGGATGGACAGGAGGACAAGCCTGGGCACTGCTGGGTCCTCTGAGGCTCCCGCCGACCCAGGCCCATAGTGTAAGAGGATTTACTGCCTTCTGTGCTGCTCCTGATGGCAGAGATTTTATTGTCGTGAAATACAAGTCATCCACCTTCCTGGAGAGAGAGGAGGAAATAAATCTCACCCAGAGCATTCCAGTCTGAGGACAGACCGAACACCCCCCCTTCACTCATGTTCTTGGGTTATGAAGTCCCCTCCTGGCCAGCTGCTCCTCTTAACCTGATATTTAAAAACCACCAAGCAAAGGCCTCAGCTTGCAGGCTTGGGGCTTTCAGAGATAAGCAGAGAGTGCAGAGCCAAAGGAGAATATATTTTGGTGAGTGGCAGGAACCCAGGAGAGGGAGGTGTCCCTGCCGGGTGCCCAGGCCTCGCTCCTCCCAGGGGACTTTAGGTCAGAAGTCACCAAATTCAAGGGAAACAGAGCCGGAGAATTATTAAACGGGTTTACTAAATCAAAAGGCTCTGTGTTTCCTGACTCAATATGGGAAAAACCCAAAGGAGGAAAATGCAGCTTCTTGATGCTACTGCACAATCAGCCTGAGCACAAGGGTGACAGGCAACGGGCGGGGGGTATGCGGTGACTGCTCAGTGCAGAGAGGAGGGAGAGATTCCAGGGAGGCTGAGCCTGTAGTGCAATCGCTCTGCTGTCTCGTGAGAGTGGAGCTTGGAAACTGCTTTAGGACAATTTACTGTTGTCTGGGAACAATAAATTAACAGGACTGCTCACGCTTCTGCACCTTCTGCTAATAAAATCCCTGGCCGGGGTCACGGGCAAGGTGACTGCAGTACAAACAGTGCCAGCTCCAGAACCCTCAGCGCCAAGAGCAGCGTGGTGAGAGGGAACCAGACCCGCCCCATGGGCTCGGGACCAGGGGCTGCTCCTCCACGCAGAGCTGCCCCACCTGCCCCACTCGGGGCTTCGCCAGCTCAGGCCGGGCACTCGGAACAGGGACAGCTGGGCGTCCGCTTCACAGGAGCACACGTCTGCTCAACACGGACCGAGGTCCCCTTTAAGCGTCCCCATGACCGCTGACACACCAGGCTCCTAGCTAGGTCCATGTCGGCTGCGTGCTCGCCCTGAAGGCTGGTGTCCTGTCGGGACTCTAGTGTGACCCCGAGAAACCACTTCACCTCTGGTCCCCAGTGCTGGAGGACAGACGGAAGGGGACAAGTCCAGACTTCTGGTCAGGCTTGCACGGGCACACATGTGAAGGCAGCACTCAGCCTCTGCAGAGCCCCGAGCGCAGCAGCACAGCCGGGGCCAGAGCCCCACTGGACCCAGAAAGAGGCGTCAGAGCTCCATCCACCTCCCCACGGTGGCAAAGGGAGAGGACAAGGACGCTGAGATCTGCCGTGGGTCCTAGGCTGGGGCAGGAGAGGCCAGTGGAGGCCATGCCAGCCAGCTGAGCCCCTCGGGGGAGGCCAGTGGCCAGGAGGTCATTGCTGTCAACACCACAGCAAGAGCAAGTAACCGGGCCAATGCCGGCAGCACAGCCACATGGGGCCCCCTGGCCCCCACAGCGTGCTGTGCACCCCATCTCCACTCCGGAGTCTGGTGCTAGATGTCCAGACTTCGGGGAGCACTACTGGGCACAGGGCAGATGTTCGGGAGGCCTCGTCCGGGCCGAGGAGGCAGTGCAGTGCAGGGGGAGGGTGGGCTGGGTCCGTCACACCAGTGTGGAAGCCTCGTGCCGGGGCTGTGACAAAGCCCCGGGGAAATTCCTTATGGGAGGACATGTTTTACCCAGGCCGCCCAGCCCAACCCCGGGCTGTGAGGAGCAAACTGCCCACTTGTCGGGATGGAGGTGGAGCCGGCCCCCGGAGAGACCCGGCCCTCAGCACGGCCTCACCCGAGAGGTCACCTTCCTGAAGGCCACACCCGGAGCATGGCCGCATGGGACCAAGCCTTCCAAGGCCAGCCTCTGGGGACCCCCACTGCTGCCGCCCAGAATGCTCTCCTGGTTCCCTTCCCTGAGGCGGGGTCACTGTCCTGCAATGCCCAACTCTGATCTGGGGACAGCTGCCAGGGGGCAGAAGTGGGCCCCCAGGCGGCAGCTGGGGTTTCTCCCGGACAGTGGGACCAGAAAGATAAATTCCTTGCTGTACAACAATCCTTCAGCATTTTGACTCTTTAAAGGGTGACTATGACAGTATTCAGTCGTTCCTCCTGTTGGGCTGTGACTAGTGACTCAGGGGCTGAGGGTGACACGGGCTGTCCCTGCTCCCTGGGGACAGAGGTCGGCTGTGCACCCAGCTGGGTGTGGGCTGCTGTCCGTCACACACTGCTGAGAGCCTGGCTCCCATGTGGGCAGCTCAAGAGTGAGGAGGCTAGGAGAGTCACCTCACACAAACCAGTGAAGGCACACGAGCCAGCAGTTGTCATGCCCGGCCCAGGCCTGGACGCCTCCTCCAGAGCTGCCTGACCCTCCGCTCTGCCGGCCTCATGCACAGCCCTGGACACACGGGAGTGAGAGCCTGCTGGCCCCCTGTGCTGAGTACATCCCTACCCAGGTCAGAGTCTCTCATACCCCTCCTGGCAGAGGAGGAACCGGGCTGATGGGGGAAGTGACCAGCAGGAGACCTGGCCTAGCTGCGTGCTCGCCAGATCAGCACACAGAGCTGCTGCCCCACAGTGCTGATCCCCCACCTGGCTCCCGGCAGGCAGGGGCTGCAGTGATGGACAGGGACAGACCGTGGGCAGTGACAGTGGAGGGCTAGCCCCAGAGAGCGAGGGAGAGGCCATTGACACCTCACCCAGGGCCAGGAGCCCCAGAGGTGCCAACCCCACAACACTGCATAGTCCTCACGATACCACGGACGCCACTGTGCAAAGTCAAGTTAGCAACTCATGCACCCCAGAGCCGCAATGGGGCCGGGCCGCTTCCCCTGACAGCTCACCTCACAGGCACCGGCAGCACCACATCTGGGCCCACGACAACTGGCAGAAGGCACACCGGAAAGAGCAAACGAAACACCAGTGCCCAGGCTCACCGGGCACCTCAGGAGTCTCACCTTCCTCAGTCACTGGTTACTCGTCTTTAAAGACAGAATCTCTCCCTCCCTCTCTCCCTCCATCTCTCTCTCCTCTCTTCCTCTTTCTGTTTTTTAAACTGGTCTCAAACTAGCCAGTGTTGCTATCAAAGGGCTCAGGAACCAACCCTACCAGACAATTCAGAGACGTGTACCAAAAATAAAGACGTAAACATTATCTTAAAAGAAAAAACCAGGGTTCCATGGCCTTCTGGCCACAGGCAGCTGTTGGCCTGGCTTCTGTGCCCCTCCTGCTCCTCATCCCAGAGCTGTGCCTCTTGGTTAGATTTTATTTCAGGCCCGTCTGACATTTGCTCTGGACTCCCTAGAAAGTGCTTTCCGAGGCCCAGGTGAAACTCATTAGAACACGACTGCGAGATACATTTAAAAGAAACGTGAAGACTCAGAACTGGCCATGTCACACTGAAGACTCCCCCCGGACTCCTCCAGCGCCTGACCTGAGGCCTCCACGGAGGGGCCGGAGCCCGGGAATGTGGGGTGCACTCATGCTTTAGTCCTGGGGTCTGCCATGCCGAGTGTCTACAGTGGGCCCTAACCCTGCAGAAACACTGGCACGACGGCGAGACAAGGGCTGAGACTACTCAGGCCACGACGCAGTCTGTTTCCATGTGGTGCAGAGAAAGTTAATTTCTGGACATCTCAGTCAACTTTGTGACACTGTGCAGTTTAACCTCTAAGGCTTGCGACATTTGCTTTATCTGCTCTTCTCCCCTCAAAGCCCAGGGACAGGGACACAGCTTTATCTAGTGGTGAGTGTTGCAAGTGATCTCGGCTCCACAGAGACAGGGCAAGGAGGGTGCTCCTGGGGAGCCGAGCTCCTGCTCTCCCTCCTGTGGAAACACTGCTGTGCAGGTGAGCAGCACGGCCTGCCTGCAAAAGGCTGAGAGGTGTTACCTTCCAGAGCAAGGCACCGGGGTGGGCTGGACGACCAGGTCAGGCTGTGCAAGCACTCGAGGAACTGGGGCCCCTGGGGCTTGAACCCCGGGAAGCAGTGGTAGGCGATCACCGTCCCCACGGGGAAGGAGGTCTGGAACTCGGACATGTTCACGTAGCCATTGGCAGCGGCCAGGGGTCTCAGGCAGCCTGGGAAACGTGGGAGAGAAAGAGAAAGGATTCACCCTCATCTGTGCACATCTAAAGGTCAGGCAGGACAGGTACTCGGGGGCCTGGGCAGACAGCACTACCCACGAGCCTGGGCCGTGTCCCCAACCCGAGCACTCTGAGGTGCATCCCCTGCTACTGTCGGAGGCAAAGACCGACGGTGGGGGGCATGGTGGACACATAAGCGGCTCCAGATCTCACGGTGCCCAGGCCCCTGGGTAGCACCATTTCTGAAAGCTCCCAAGTCGTACTAGTGCCACCAGGGCTGAAAGCCACTAAGGTACCCATGAGAAGAGGACCCAGCGTTTCCATGGCAGTGGTGGCCACAGGAGGATCCGCTGCAAACTCAATTCCTCTGTGTCTGAGATGGACTGGCAGCCTGGCTGTGCCAGCACTGCCTGGTATCTGGACATCCAGCCAGGATCAGAGTCTGCTTGGCATCAGTGTGAGGAATCCTGCAGTGCAGTGGGTCTTGCTGTGACTGGCCACGGGCAGCCGGGCACATGAGGGACCCCTTGGGGCCCGAGGACCATGCTCCTGTGGCCCAGCTCCAGGCTGCACATTCAGGGGGAAAAGCAGGCACCAAACTGTGTGTGCTTTCAGCTTGGGTGCTTGAGCCCTGCACTCCTCGCAAGCACCGCTCCCTTGGTCCTCAAGCCTGGGTAGGGCAGCCCAGCAGAGCAATCCCTGTGGCTCGGACCTGCTCATATAGGGTTCACTGTGACCGTGGGGGCCTGAGGACTTTGGGCCATTCCACTGGTGGAAGTGGGGCCCTGTGGGGCTGCAGCTCTTGCTGAGGGGCACTGACTGCATGTGAAGAGAACAATGTATGCCCAAAACACCTGCTTTCAGCGAGGCCTGGTGGTGCACACCTGTGATCCCAGCACTCAGGAAGCTGAGTCGGGAGGATCCCAAGTTCAAGCCTAGCCTGTGTAACTGATTTAGTGAGACCCTGTCACAAAATAACAAGTTTAAAAGGGCCGGGGATATAGCTCAATACAGAAGTTCTGTGTTCATCCCCAGTACTGCAAGAAAGGAGGGGGGGTGAGCCTGCTCTTCCAGACTCCACAGATCACAGGGCCACACAAACACACACAATGACAGACCACCTCACCTATTCCTTATCCCACGTGTCTTGGGGATCAAACTGCCCACAAACACCCCAGGATAAGGCATCACTCCCCTGAGTCAGTGCGGGGACACAGTGGGGCTGGGTGAGGAGCCCAGGGCCATGCTCGCTCTGCCCTGCTGCGGGCCTGCAGAGCGTCCTGCTCAGGCCCTCCTCTGAGACGGTCTGGACCTCAGAATGCTTTGCTCTGAGCCAGATGCTCACTGTGGGCTCAGGGGAGAGTTGGGAATCAGGGATAAGCAGAATCAGCAACTGAGAAAAACGTGAACGTGCTGGCACGGTAGTCTCATGGGCTGGCACAAGTCCACCCGGCCTCCTGGCAGGAGCTGCAGGTCTAAGCTGTCCCCAGGGAACAGGCTTCCCACACAGCCTCCCTCCCACCGGAGCGAGCAAAGGCGCTGGGAGTTGTTCTCCCAGCAAAGCTGCCACCAGGAAGCAGCCTTGGAGCAGCCCATGATGCCCGAAGGGGATGGCAAGGCCTACGGTCCCTGCAGCCCTTCGGAGCCTGGGACGGCGTGGACACAGCCTGCCCTGGATGGGACAGTGGAAAGCACTGTACACGCTGGCTCACGGTTTCCATTTGCCCCTCGGTAATGGAAAGAAGGCCTTCAGGTGTCAGCCCCTCGATCCATAGGTGGAAACACAAGTCGCAGGACGAGACGCCACTCTAAGGGCCAACTGTGTCCCCCGGTGCTCGGAGCAGTGTCAGGCTACCCAGGCAACTCCAGTTCCTCATTCCTGGCGTCCTGCCAGGCGGGGCAGAATCCCAGGCGTGCATGGAGTGCAAGGTGGGCTGGCGCTCAGGACTGGGCAGCCAGAGCCGGTGCCGCTCAGCGCAGAGCGTCCACCCGGTGCGCATCCACTGGCCATCTGGGGTCTGGGTCCATCTGGGGTCTGGGATAAACTCAGGAACAGCCAGGACAGTGTGGGCAGACCCAGCACGGCCACAGGACTGAGACTGGAGACAGGGTGAGGGCCAGCATGGAGCAGCCGGCCAAGCAAAAGGGGAACGCGTGCCAAAGTCCAGAACATGGAGAGGGAAGCCACACGGGCACTCAGAGCAGCATCCGCGGAGAGGCACCCCCAGGAAGCTCGCTGTATTAGGTGCCTCAGACGGAAAGAGGCGGGTGAGGCACAGGATTCTGATGTGAAGGTGCAGAGGGCCAGGGACCTGGACCCAGGACCCAGCATGGCTCCTTCCTGCAAAGCATGCGGGGCCGCACCTGCCACGTCTCTGTCCTGCCCTGCAGCCTCTCCGCCCAGTTAAGGAAACAATTTATTTCCAGTGACAGGGCACACGGAGCAATGCTGGAGCGGGCTCACCCTTCCTCGCGGAGAGCACACAGTGAGCGTGGCTCCCCGGTGCTGCGGTCCAAGTCACGCATCAGCAGACAGAGTCAGAGTCAGTGTTCACAGACAGGGCCCTCTGCATTCCAGACACGCGAGACGACAAACGTTCATGGTGTGGTTTGGATGACATTTGAATTTCATTATTTTCCCGCTCTTCATGCATGATAAAAGGGGCAAATTATTAATAGGAAAATAGCCTCTGTCTCAGGCTTTAACTATATTCTTGCCACTGCTGAAGTAAGTACATGCTCTTGTTGCAAATGTTATAACGCAGCTTCCACTACACACAAAACACCTCATCATCATGTTCTCCACCGGGTTTCGCCTCCTAATTCTGACTTCCTGGGTGGAGGGACAGCCAGAGCGCTAGGGCGAGGCCTCCCCTCGTCACTGTAGACCGGGGCACGTGCAGGGCGGGGTGCGGCTCTGCAGCCCCGCCACCCTCTCTGTCCCCGACACAGCCACTCACACACCGCCCACCACACGGCCCAGGGAGGCCCTCGGCCAGGTACCTTGACAGGTGGGCAGGTTGTCCCATGTGCCGTCGTCGCGGCACCGTGAAGCCACGTTGTACAGGTCGGGGTAGCGGATGGTGAATCCCTCGTGACAGGCGATGATCAGCTTGTCTCCATATCTGTATGTCTTGTTATGAATCTCTGCATCTTCGACCTGAGGCATGCGGCATTCTGCAATTTTGAATTTCAAGTCGTGAACTCTTCATGAGAAAACTCCTCTGGACCCGTCTCACCTCCAGGGCAGCGCGACACCCGTTAAGTCACCCCGGGACGTGGCGGGCCGCGGGGCAGCTGTGACTCTTTACACCGCATGTGCAATGTTGGCACAGCTTGGGAAATGACACAGACGAGAGAGGGATCCTGGACACGTGGTGCTGTCCCCTGCTGCATTGGAGGGCAGGACACAGCGCCATGTCCACCCCCACCTCCGCCTGAGCCCCATGAGAAAGCACAGTGTGCGTGCAGCCCTGATCCGGCCGGCCACACACAGTTCCCGTGCATGACCCTGTGTTCAGGAAGACAGGCAAGCACCAAGGCTGGTGTGGGCAGTGGCACTTCTCTGAGGAGGAGGGAGGGAGGCCTGGGCCCGTACGAGGCCATAGGAGGAGTGGGAGACAAGCGGGTACGGCTGTCCACTTCTGTCCGCCGCCCAAACCATGCTGCTCCGCCACAGCCCAAACACTGCCCGACTCAGCCGAGGTCGCCAGTTGTGAGGTGTCTTCCCCGGCTTGCGTGAGCACATCTAGATTTAATCTTTCTGATTCTGTCTTATTTTTTCTTCCATTTTCCAGGCTGAAAATGGGACCCAGGGCTCCACACATGTGAGGCAAGTGCTCTGCCCTGGGCCACAGTCAGCTCTGCCAGTGCGTCTGTGTCTCCACACACATGCCTGCTTGTGAGGGTGACCTACACACGGGTGTGCTCCACAGCTATGGGTTCTTAATTTTTTTAAACAAAGAAAATCCAAGGACAACAACTCCTCAGCTGAAGAAACCTCTCAAGAAAGCCTTGACAGATGCTAGCTTCTCAGCTGCCCCCCAGGGACTGCTGACCTTGAGGCACAGCTAGAACAGTACTGACCAGAGCCCTGACCTTCAACAGCTCTGAGCTCTGGCCCTGGAACCCGCCGGGGCGACAGGAAGGAGCAGTGGTGGCCAAGAGGGTGCTGGGTACTGTGGCTGCTTTAAAGCAGGGTCCCAGGCATGGCAGGGTTGGGGCTGGAGCCATAGGGGGACGGGGAATGCGGCAGATGGACTCCAGAGACAGACGCCAGTGAACAGAAAGAGCAGGCAGGGGGCTCCCCATGACGGGGAACGAGGGGTAGAGCCAGCTCACTGCCCAGTGTGGCCCTGGAAGTCACTGTGTTCATCAGGGCACCTTCACCCTAGCCTTCGTCACCCCATGGGCTGGAGAGCAGGACCCACGTCACCCGCCTCCTGTACCGCTTCCCCTCTCCACCCCTGCGTGCACACTGGCCAGGAGGAACTGTGGCGGGAGCCGCCAGACCTCGGCCTCCAGGGCTGGACATTACTTCCGGTGTGGTTCCGCTGCTCAGCCCCCAGAACCTGGCCTCTGCCTCCCCAGGCTGTGGCCGCACCAGGCAGTCCTGCTGGGGGCATGTCTGGTTTCAATGTTACCTCTCACACTTGCATTTCCGGCTGTGGAAAGCATTTCCTAACTGTTCGTGCTCAGCCAGCAGTTTTCCTGTAGGAGTAGCTGAATCCCCCCAGGTGGACCCCACAACAGTCCCGGAGTTGTCCCGAAATGGACAGTCGTATGCACAACCGCTGGTATCCCACCACCCATCCTCTTAATGCAGTGTGAGCCATGTCTTTCCAATGACTCCATGCAGAAATTATTCACAGCAAATAAAAACACATCTATCAAGGCATCTGTCTGTACAGTCTTGGCTGTAAACAGATCCCGTGGCAGTAATTTGTAAGTCGGAGCAACTATTTTCATGATAGACGTATAATCTGCTCAAGAATTAATTGGCCAGTGTACTCGGGCGCTGGCCAGTTGTAAAGGGCCGCTGGGATGTCACAGACTTGTAGATGCTGGCGGCTGGGAGCAGAAGGACTACATCCGGCCACCAGGGGGTGAACAGAGTGTGCAAGGCTTCCGGAAGGCCTAAGGTTTGGAGGGGACCCCAGGGCCTGAGGGTCTGTGCTGTGCCCCAGAGGAGCACTCCAGGAGGTGGCCAGGCCACACAGTAGGAGGCAGACTCCAATCCTGCCAAGGTGGGGGCAGGAGGCCGTGCTCAGTGCTAGCTGAGTTAACACAGAGCAGCTCTAACAAAACCTGCACCTGGGTGGGAAAAGCCATCCACAGCCGCTCCAAGTTGGCTGCTGGCGCCCACGGGTGGAGGGGAGGGCGGAAGGAGAGCGCTTGGACAACGCATGTGCCCCACTGGGTCCAGCTGTGACCCTCAACACATGGACCTTGCTCAGTTCTACGGAAAGAAAGAACCCAGGCCCCTTAGCGTCGGAAGAAAATTTCCACCAATGCTAGAGTTTCACACAGACTACAGATGCTCCTGAATTTGCAACTGGCCACCTCCAGAGCGAGCCACGAAAGGCACAGACAGTGAACGTGGAAGCTGTTTAACACCTCCGGTGTACACCAGCCTAGCAGGCACTGCGATGCCCAGGAAGCCTCAGGGATCCACCTCCTGACCTCCAGGCTCTGCCGCTGCCCAGCACTAAAAAAGTGCCGTCCTACACACCACTGGGCCAAGGAGAGACCCAAATCCAAAGTCTGAAGTAGGTTCCTATGGAAGGTGCACATATATGTCATATATGTCACCCTTGATTGTCAACCTGGGGACTGAGACACAATTTTCTATAGCTTAGATTCAACCACTCGACAGGGAGACTTTTAAAAGCTGCTTCAAACATATTATTACCAAGGACTCTAAAAAGTACTTATCAGCATCTGATTCTGTCACTAACAATTACAATGTAGACCTGGGTGTGGCACGCAGGCCTGCAATCTTCCCACTCTGAGAGGCTGAAGCAGGAGGGTAGAAAGTCTGAGACCCCTGGGGCAGCCGGGGGACTTAGCAAGACCTCATGAATAAAAAAATAAAAAAGAAGGCTGAGGTTGCAGCTCAGTGCCAAAGGCCCTGCGCACAATCACAGTGCTCAGGTACAAGAGGTGCAAGTGGCCTCTCAGGATAAGACTCCCACTCTGGGAGTCACCTTTCCTGTCCACACCGCCTTTGCCTTCATCTCGCTCCTGGTGACACTGGACTTCAGTGTAAGGAAACCATGAAGAGGGAGCGAGAGGGCCTTAGGGCCTTAGGCCAGACTGGACGTTTACACCGATGCACAAACTGACCTCCCAGATGGAGCGGGCAGCAGTGGAGACCGAGGGACAGGGCAGGCCGGGAGGCTGGGGCGAGAGGCTGGGCCTCGGTGCTGTGGAGCGGCTCTCAGCGCGGCTCTGCCTGCAGGGGGCAGAGCTGGGGTACCCGCAGGGGCCGGTGGGGGGCTGTCCACTGCTTTCTGCGCGGTTCAATTGTCTTTGCACCGAAGAAACCCCGAGCCAAGAGCAAAATGGTGCCGTCCTTCCACAGAGCGCTGAGCCTGAGGCCAGCGTGCAGCCTGTCAGGGTGGGGTGAACCGCAGCTCAGGCCCTGTCTTCCCTCAGCATCGCCTCACACTGCGCTCACTCCTCCAGGCTGCCCCTCCCTCTCCGCGGAGGAGAGCCCCCGTCCCCACCTAACCCAGGACACCGCGCAGACCACCGCCATCTGCACAGGAGCAGACTGCACAAGCAGAACAGTCACCCGGAGTGGTGGAGCTGGTGGAGCCGGCAGAGGAGACGGGGGCTGCCCAGAAAGCGGGGCCAGCAAGGGGCGCCTCGCAGAGAAGCAGGGCGACGTCGGTGGTTTTCTCCCTACAGTGCAGGCAGGGCCTTCTCCTCCGTCTTTAAGGATACTGGCTGTTGTGAAGCAGCATCAGAGCATCTATACCTGTGCGTCTTTGCTTAACCTTAACAGGGAATTGTTACTATGTCCCAGCTTACAGCCACTGAGAAAAACCATGCCAAAGACAGTTGGTCAAAGCAAAGTTATTATGTCAGCATGCTTCCTGGACTTAGTGTCTTTCTCTTTTTAACCTACAGATTGGTGATTTTATTTATTTGTGGTTGATAAGGACAGTTAGCACCTTTGTGTTTTGTTATTTACCACCATGGTAGTAATTTTTGGTGTGTTCTTAGCTGTCCAGTCTGCAGGACTGAGACTCCCACATATTCCTCTAAACATTTGCGGAACACAAAGAAAGTCTCCACACACTGCCAACCTCTGCAATTACAGCCCATGTTTTCTGGACACTGTAGTTAAGGCAGAAATTAATAGTTAGAAAACTATATGTTTAGAAACCAAATAATAGCTTTATAAATAATCCATGGGTCCAAAAAGAGACAATGAAAATAAATAAAAATGAAATATATGCAGAGAAAACTGCAGCTATAAATTTCCCTTTAAACCTAAGAACAAAAGTAGGAAAAGAGAAATATTTAAAAATCATGAATATGGACTTTACTCATTTAACTCATTTGTTAATCACATTGTTTACATTTTTCATATCCTGATTGGCTTTCTCTTCTTCCCCCTTGGTCTGTGACTGTGGATTAAAGTTATACTGATTTTGTTTTGTAAACTTAGGTGCATACATATTTGGAATTATCATTAATACTTAAGAATTGTTCTAAAAAAGGCAGAAAAAAGATAGCTAAACCCAAAGTACAAGGAAGTAAATACTCATGAGCATTAATGAAACAAGAAACACAGAGAATCAAAAAAGTGAAATTCTTTGAAATTAGTAAAATTGATAAATCATAGGCCAAACTGATTTTAAAACCTCAGAGGGACAATATACACAAGCAGGTAAGAGCAAAAACATAAAACCATCACATATCCTATATTTTAAAAAGAGGATGCTATAAAATTAGAAAATTTGGGAATCAGATTCCCGAGCTAAAAACTGTGTAAGTTACCAGAACTGACACAAGTAAAAACAAAAAGCAGTTATACCCCTATGAAATGTTAAAGAAACCAAAGTCCAAACTGAAATCCCTGCAAAGAGAACTCCAGCCCTGTGTGGCTTCCCCACGAGTGCTGATAGCAGCCTCCCTGCAGTCCCAGTCTCCTGTGAGGGAATCAG